TTCTTTTTTTTAAGTTTTTATTTAAATTCCAGTTAACACAAAGTGTAGTATTTGTTTCAAGTATACAATTTAGTGATTCAACACTTATGTACAATACCCAGTACTCATCACAACAAGTGCACTCCTTGACCCACATCACCTATTTAATTCATCTCACCACTCACTTCCCCTCTGGTAACCATCACTTTGTTTCCTATAATTTAGAGTTTGTTTCTTGATTTGCCCCCTCTCTCTTTTTTCCCTATGATCATTTTTTTTGTTTCTTAAATTCCACATATGAGTGAAATCATATGGTATTTGTATTTTCTGACTTATTTCACTCAGTGTAATACTCATTAGGACCATCCATGTCTTTGCAAATGGCAAGATTTCATCCTTTTATGGCTGAGTAATATTCCAGTATATACCACTTCTTTATCCATTTGTCAGTTGATGGACATTTGGGATCTAGCAAATCTAGAGATTTGCACTTCTCTTTATTGACTCAAATGATACAGAAATGCTAATTCAGAGAGAAACATGCACCCTCATGTTTAATAGCAGCATTGTCAACAATAGCCAAACTATGGAAAGAGCCCAAATTTCCCATGACTTTCTGAGAGATGCATAGTAAGTCTTTCATTATAAACATAGTTTGACAGTTTATTCCTGTAGTTTTCTTCGTTTTTGTTTCACATATTTTCAAAAATTCTTAGAGGTGTGTTGTTTCGGAAACTTCTTTATGACCTGCTTCTTTTATCACTGTGAAAAGTCCTTCATCTTTTAATGCTTTTTTTCAGTATTAATATTGTGACATCTGATTTTTGCATGTTAACATTTGCTTAATGTAGTCCTTTTCAATCTCTTTATTCCTAATCTTCCTGTGTCATTGGGTTTGAGATATGTCTCTTTAAAATACATTACTAGATTTTGATTTTTTTTATCTAATATAAAAGTCCTCAACTTTTATATAATGAGTTTAAAATATTCCCATTGCTATAATTTTTGATATCCTTGGAATTTTGTTATTTTTTTTCATTTATCATATTTTCTAGCTTATTTTTGTTCCTTTGCCCACCCTTAATTAGGCTAATTTTTCTTTAGTTCTGTTTTTCTCTACTATATTATAAATATATTATTTGTTTCTATATTTTGTGGTTACCTTAACATTGCTAATATAAATGTTCAAACATTTTTCTAACTTTAGAGTTAGTATTTCTCATATACCTAAGAACAACAACAAAAAGGCTTAGCGTACTTTTATTTTCTCCTGATCTTATCTCTCATATTTTAACCTTCATTAATATTATTTTAAATTTGATAGCTTAGTGGTTGTATTTTAAAAATTAAAACATGTTTAGTCAAGCTTTTAAATAAACATTTTTAAGACAATGTATTTTATTACTCTCTTTGCTACCCATTATGTCTTTTTTTTTCTTTTAATTTTTATTTATTTATGATAGTCACACACACACAGAGAGAGAGGGGAAGAGACACCGGCAGAGGGAGAAGCAGGCTCCACGCACCGGGAGCCCGACGTGGGATTCGATCCCGGGTCTCCAGGATTGCGCCCTAGGCCAAAGGCAGGCGTCAAACCACTGCGCCACCCAGGGATCCCCCCATTATGTCTTTTATTTCATTCACTCCTCCTGTAATTTCTTATTATTATTGGCTTATATCATCTAGCAGTTCTTTCAGAGAGAATCCTGATGTAGTAAACTTCAAAGTTCCTTTAATTCTAAAAATACCTTTATTTCTTCCTCTCACTTGAATAGTTTTGGTGGGTGTAGAATTGTATCTTCAAAGTTATTTTCCCTTAGAATGCTTAGATATTATTCTACTGTCTTCTTGTATCCTGGGTTGCAAGGAATCTGATGTCAATTTGATTTTTAGTTCTTTGTGAGTAATCTTTCTTTTGACTCTGACAGCTTTTAAGATTTTCTCTTTATTCTTGATATTCACAAATTTCATCACAACATATTGTGGTGTGTGCATGTGTGTGTGTGTGTGTGTGTGTGTGCACGCGCCCGTGTGTGTTTTATCTTTAATTTATCCTTCAACCGAGAGGATCTTTGAAGTTCTGAGAAGCTTTTCCATAATATTTCTTTAAATGCTGCTTTTCCTTAAATTTTATCTATTTTTTCCTTATGAAAGTACTTTCAAACAGATGTTAGCACTGTGTGTCACCATGTATCTTAATCCCCTACTTCCATGTCTTCATCTCTGCTTCTAATATCTTGCTTTGAGCTGGGGCATCCTTCTGTCTCCATTCATCTGCTTTGTTTTTCAGGCATCTCTCACTGTCTCCAATATATTACAGTTTATACTTCTTTACTTTCCAGTTATTTTATGAAATCTTCTCTGTTGTCCCTAAGGATTTGGAGTGAATGGTATACATGAGGGTGACAGTTATATGAACAGTGCTCAGTTTGCCAATTTCAATACCCTATTTCAATAACCCTTTCAAGTTTGTAATATTTGTCAACAATGCTCATCAGTTGTAAAGGACCAAATTGAGGTTTGGCAAGGCAAGTATAAGCAGAAGAATTTAATGATGTGATTGTGGTGCTAGTGAGTCTCAGGTTTAGAATGGCAAGCTGTCAAGACTCAGCTATTGTGGGAGTTGAAAGCAAACACATGGGTGAATAAGGAGAAGCTGTAAAACTGGAGGTCATGACAGTGGGTCCAATAGTAAGAAAACTGAACAAATGACAAGATATAAACCTGTTTATAGAAAAAATGAATCAGAGTTTGAGATTTATTGGTGTAAAAATCTCTCCAAGGGAGATTGATCGTTTTGGGTTGTTGTTGGGGATTTAGGTTATATATACTGATTCTTCATATGATGATGAAGCAAAATGTATCTCCCTTTCTTTATTTTCCAGGAACATATATGTTGTTATACTCTTTGTGTAAGATTAGCTTTGTGATTTCAGACCACGTTAGTCCATATATACACATTCTTTAGGTTGAGATGCTTTTCTTCAAGTTAGAGCACTTTCTAGATATATATAAATATTCATCTCATCACAGTAGAATGCTATTGCTCATAGAAATGGCTCTTATTTCTCTAGTTACTATACTTTTTTTCCACATGTGGCAGTAATATTCTTGTCCAGAGAGACATGGATTATTGAAATAAATGTTAGTAGCCCCAAATTACTTGTATTTCAATTTGTATTAGACTTTAAGTACATACCAAAAAGTCCCAAGGCAACAAACATAATATAGAAAGTGCAAATTAAAAGTCTCTGTATTGACACATTGAGCAGTTATCTCTTACAAAATTTCAGTGCATCCAGTATTTCACATTTAACATTTCAACATTTTTACATTGTTTTATATAATCTTACACTGATAGTTTAAAAATGGAGAAGGGATAATTTTGCTAGCACATACAATTGAGATGAGACAAACTGGTGGAAGGAAATGACAGGTGAATTAGAAAGTGTAACTAGTCTTCAGGTATTAAAGGGAAGAGTTAGCTTTGAAATTCAAATTGGGATCAGGAACTACAGATCAGGAATGAGCAAAGTAGTCAGCTGCAAATATTTAAGCCTTAACTTGGAAGAAAAGTCTCAGTGTCTCAAGTATAGAAGGAATCACAGTTGGTTAAAGCTACTACATTATGTCTGAAGCAGGTGTAAGGTGCTAGAAATCCATGACTTTATCATACTGAAAGTTGCCATCTTTGTGATAATAAATCTAAGTACCTGAGTATATTTAAGGGCTACATGGAATAAGGAATCACATACTGAAAACTAGTAGTGCTCTTTTTAGTACTATTTTTAAAATAATGATGATTATGGCCATGATCAGTTAAAGCACATGCTATATGCCTAGCACAGTGTTACTCAGCTTCTGTACATTATCTCTGAGCATTTAAAAAAAACCTGGTGAGATAAACATGGTAAAGTTATTTTTATAGGATTAAAAGAACTAAAAATCTGAATTAACATCTGGTGAATTTCAATAGAATAAACAAATAATAGGAATAATTTGGGCCAAAATTTTACAAAGATATTCTGCTTTAGCAATATAGTGGAGTGGAGGCGAGACCATGAAGGTTGTACTTTTATTTCTCTGTCAATGAGTTTTTTTATTATTTTTTTCTAGTTATATGTTTTGCTCTTTTCAATTTTTGGAAATCACAAGTCTAAGACTGACAAGAGAGTAGTTAGTTACTGGCTTTGATTTATGAAGACTTCATTTGAACAAGATTTACACAAATAAAAAAAAGTAGCAGCCCTTACCAAAATGAAGCTGCTCATCTTTACACATGAGTCACAAGTAACTAATGTTGGTGCATTCAGAATGATTAAGTTGCATAAAGTAAAATATCTGTGAAATCATGGCTGTGTACTGCCAGTGACTCAAAATTAACTTTTCAAAATGATTTGATTACAACACACATTGTAAGGTAATAATACAGAACAATGTATTAAGTACTTTAAAATACATATGGCTTTTTGTAGTAGGCTATTAGCCAAATCTCATTTTACAGTTTTATAGCTCTCACACTTGGAATATCTCACTTGTATAAAGGCAGTTCTTTGTTTTGGATGTCTGTTGGGATGTAATATTAACATCAATACAGATAAAACAATAAAGAATAATCACCCAAAATGGGAGAATAAAGAATATAGCCAAAGAATTATGCAAGATGTCAGTAACTTAAAGATAGGACCACTCCCTGTAGTTATATTTCAAGAAAAAAAAATTCAAGTAAAGTAATAATTGTAATCTCCCCCGGGTTTTAATTTACATTTAGGCTTCTCATAAAAAATTGAACATGCAAATGGAATTAGGACTTTTTTTTAGGACTTTTTTTTCTATCACAGATATTGAACACAGCATAAAGACTGCAGGGTTTCTAATTTCTGTAAATAATTGCTCTGTCACACAGAAGAGGTAGATATTTGAAATAATATCAGTGAGTTGAAGATTAACTATCCTCTGGAGGACACATGATTTCCTGCCACCACCACCATATTCAGTGTGAGTCTTTTTTGTTTCCACAGAGCATCTGTACAACCACAACTGCATTTTTGCACTTTTTCTTCCTGGCTTCATTCTGTTGGGTTTTGACTGAGGCGTGGCAATCATATATGGCTGTAACTGGAAAAATTAGGACACGGCTTATAAGGAAACGTTTTTTGTGCCTTGGATGGGGTAAGCATATTAATATATCCTTTCATGTTCTTGTTAAAATGGCTTTGAACACATAACGAAGCAGTAGAGTGTGATTATCCCCAGGCTACTTTTCTTTGTGTCCAATTTGATATATGGAAGTAGAAATATATGAAGCAGGTCATTTTTGAACATTCTTTGAGCATTTGAAACTTTAAAAAGGAGTAAATATTGGATGGCCATGTAGCCAGCCAGTCAGTTAAGCAATGGTGATAGCTTGGATAGCTATGAGCAGAAAAGCAAAATGGTCTCTACTAATATGTTCTGAAAATGCAAAATGTTTTAAAATGTTCTGGGCTCAAACCAGGTACTAGTCATGTTTACCAGTCATGTGTACTCCCCACAAGAAAAATTTGAAAAGTCTGTTCTGAGAGAGCTCAAAGCAATTAAGGATTACAACTATCCATGTAACAGGAAGAAAGTCATTTAGAGAATGAATGAAATCTCATAGCTAGTCAGTAGAGTCCTGAGAGGAAAAATAGAATTGTTGACAGACTGAGAATTAACTAATTATTTGCTTATCTTTATTAGGAAAAGTTCTTCTCATATTACCTTATAAAATGGACACCTTGAAGATCTGTTTTTCATAAGGCCAATTCTAATGTTTAATTAGAATTAATTAGTTTAATTAATTTAAGAAACTAGTTTCAGAAAACCTCAGAGTTTTGTCATCTTTGCCTTTGAGTTTCAGAAGACTTGAACTAAAAAAAAAGGGGGGGGGGCAGAATTTTGGGCCAAATATACAACAAATACCTGATATACCAGAAGACTAGAGAATAGGATGCTTGACGGAGTCTGAAAAATTCCAAATAAGTGGTCTTATTAAAATAACAGAATAATTTATACTGGAAAAAGTAGGATCAAGATCACTTAAAGAGTATCCATCAGGTTTCAGCAAGATTCTGTCATGTGTGATTAACATATTAGGGCTCTTTGCACAGGCAAATGGGAAAGCCATTAAGAAGAAATCGGAGAATGTATTCTATTTATACTTTCATAAAACTTTTGTCTGGATTTCATGTCAAAGACCTTCTAAAGTTAGATTGGTGTTGAATCAGGGCACACTTTTGTTATGATCTAGTGTCATAAATCCAAGAAATATGGAATTCAGGTAAGTGACTTTCCTTAAGTATAAAGAGTGGCAATTTTCTGGATTGGTAACTAGCTTATTTAATAACATCATTACCAAAGATGGCATGAGGAGAGATCTCACAGCTGATCTCCAAGGTTACAGATAATATGAAACTACTCTGGGTAGCAAAAAAAGCTAAGCTGATGGTGCTAGACCATCGGGAAGTCTGAATTGGCAGATTAGTGGCATATGAATTTCATTACGGCAAAGTGAAACATAATAAATCTAGAAAAAAATTAATCTAAATTGTACAGAATGAAGTTTATTAATGCTTTAGCTATGACACAGGAGAGATTTTTTTTTTCTAATGAACTTGGTCTAGTCAATAAAAAAGTCAACTCTATATATGTGTGTGTGTGTATACGGGGTGGGGGAGATGTATATCTATTTAAAAATATGATGTATCCCTCTGAGGTGCTCTCATAGTTTTTGTCATTAAACCTCATGAAGGAATGTGATGTCACTTGAAAAGACTCACAGAGGAGAATGGCAAGAAGGAGGGGAAACGATAGGAGGAAAGAAAACGGGTGGAAGATACTCAAGAAGATAATTAGATGATGGATTTTTCAACCTGAAAAGGCAAACATCGTCTTCCTGAAAAGAAGTGATGACCAAAATTAAAAAAAAAAAAAAAAAAAAAGCATAGATTAGGTTGAGCTCTGTTCACCAAAACACAGGGATGGTCCACTGAACTGGAGTAAGGAAAGGGTGATTCATATAAATATAAACTAAGACTGTTAGGTCAGTATTTGCACAGATATGTAGGCAGTTGAATTCCAAGAGGTACTGAGCAATGTGTGGAGTGATACCTACCTAGAAGTCCATGAAGAGAAACTGTCATGTATTTTCTGACCTCCCTTCAGGATTGTTAAAGGAAGATAATCAGGAGGCCCCAAAATTAATTCTGTAGGGCCTTTAACCGTGATCCATTCTTGTTATTATAAGTTAATCATAAAGAAAGAATTATGTGATGTGATTTACTTTTTCTGTCTTATTGTAAGTACAACTTGATGTGGATCACTATGGGGCCAACTTGAATGTTCCAATTCTGTGATATTCCATCACAGCAGAATATCCATTTTTTGCCTTTCTGATTTTATAAGTATAAATTTCCTTTATAACAGTGTAAACCCCTAGGGAAAAAATAACTTAAAAGATATACTAAATCTCTGTTATTAGTTTCCTTTAAACCTATGTCAAATGTGGTGGTAACCTAGCAACATTAGAGAAATGCACTGAGTTAAAAAACCTAGCTGTCGCTCTCATTTTTTTGTACTTGAAAGAAATTTTGTGATGGAAACATACTTTATGCAAGAATTCATCCAAAGGTAGTTCCTCCAATGTAAGCATTTTGAGTCTATCCTAGCTTTTCTTGAGCCAGAGTGTACAGTGATTATGGCTGAATGTGAAGTGTGACAATATTTTTCTTGCAGGTTTACCAGCATTAGTAGTGGCCACATCAGTAGGCTTCACAAGGACGAAAGGATATGGCACTGATCACTAGTAAGTCCATCCACAGTGATAAATCATATTTATAATTAAGTAAATCATCATATATGCTTCATTAGTCTCGGTTGGCACCGCTGATGGCTTGCATTTTGTCACTGAGTCATTAACTATGGTAGGAATTGCATTAGTACGGAATGCTGTAAGGTAGCTTCAGTGCACAGAGGTTAAGAAATAAATGCTAAAGCCCTGTTCAGAGTCCTTGTTTCAGTTTCCCTTTGCTTCATGAGACCAGTGCATTTAAAAATGTTTCAGTATTTACTCTGTATGTTTAATCACAAATAACATTTTTTAAGAACTGAATAAGCCTTGGTGTTTACCTTTTAGAATATGATTCTGATCTGAGTTTCTGATTTCACTGCTGATAATATATATTGGTATCAACCAATATATTTGTGTCATGTTAGCTCAAGTTTTGCTGCTATGTTTGGGTAATACTAAAATTTACAGATCGGGGAATCAGTAGATTATATGTTAGAAAAAGCTTAGGCTTTGGGAGAAATTAGAGGGAAGAAAAGGGGTATGGATGGTATCAGCCCATCATAACACAGCTATAACACTGATAAATTCTATGAGAGAATTTATAAGTAAGGTTTATGTTTAATATTTAAATTGTAAAACAATACACTTTCATATTTTACTTCATCTGCTCTTTCAAGCTGTGGAGGCAGTTGAGAAGTGGAGAAAGAGATATGCACATCTTTTAGAAGCATAAATTTTTAAAGTGAGATTTTCTATTTGTCTTCAGGTTTGCAATAGGAATTACCACTAATTAGGCCTTCTGGTGGGTTCATCCAGATGGAGATTGTGCCAAGAGACATCATGTCATCTGCCTACCTGAAAGGAATTTCAAAGGAATTTTAAGAACTCATGTCATTAGAACACTTGTTTTTCCTCTGCAATCTATATTATAAACACACAAATAAGCAAATTCCCTGATAATCTCTGTTGTAGAGTCTTGCTTTCTACAGCACTATTACCTTTAAGCCATTACTTTTTACAACAGTATAATTCTTTGGTATAAATCTAGTATTTGAAAGGCACTGTGTTTGGGGTGTAGAAAGAGATAGGATTGTGGATGACATGGGTCTAACTTTTAAAGGAGTTTGTGATTAAGACTGAATATGATATAATGAGTACATATCAGTTTGAAGATTAACTTACAGAAAAATATAGTATAAATGTAGTGGCAGTCTAAGAGACACTAGACTACAGTGTTCCATCATACTAAAGGCTTTTTCTCCAGGTATTTTATTTAAAAAACAGATATCAACCCCAAAGTGGGAAAGCAGAATTTTATCTGTCCACTCTTATGGCAAGAAGAAATAAGCTAAATGCAGACTTTGAATACACACATACACACACTTTTGCATTATGTATATACTGATATATGTATTGACATGTATGTGTAGGTAGATAGACATATATACATATATATAATTTACTGGATTAAAATTTTTTAAAGTATAATTTATGCAGAGTAACATTCATGCTGTTCAGTGTATAGTTCTGTGAGTTTTAACAAATGCCTAGGTCAAATAACCAGAACCATAACCAATACAGGAAAATTTATTCTTAAAACAGATATTATTAATTGTTGTTAATTGTTATTATTAATTGTCATTAATTTTGGAGCCAGCATGTTGATTCTGTAGACCTAGAAGAAATATTGACCGGGTCAAACGTCAAAAATAGGTGCATGAAGTAGTGAGCATGACTCATTGCATCAACGGAGATAAAACATTTCCTGGTGTTTTCCTTATATTGACTCTCCTGGACCATACACATGCACATAGGCCATCTTGTGAAGCCTCCAGTGCTGAGCCCCATGTCTTCTTCATGTCCCTCTGCTATGAGAGAATAAGCGTTCTTACTCAAATGGGTTACCATGTCTCTATCAATGTAAACCTGCATCTCTTGGTGAATTTAGTAATTGGAATAAACACAGCTGCACTTATTTTTATTCAAAAGCTTATCTTTAGTGAATTTTCTTAGTAGTCTAGGGCAAAAGTAAAATCAGAAGGGGAAAACAAACAAAATACAGATTATCCATTCCCTGCAACTTTTAAACAAATTTCTCCCAATATCTCAGTGGCCTCAAGGAAGAACCCATAAATGACATATGCAAGACTAAAGGCATGCTGTTCTTGCTTAAAAGATTATTTGAAAATTTTCATAATGGATATAAAGCAGCATTTTACAAAACTTGCGTAATAGTCACCTTTGTACTGAAAGTCAATATAAAAACCTTACCAAAAGAGTAATTTGTCTAAAATGTTTTAACTGCCTTATAATAAAAGTTTCTCTTCTGTGAAAGGTATATAGTATTTTTCACACATGAAACGCTCTAATTTTAGCTTTTTCCACATCTCCCTAATGCATTTTTGTTTAATTACAAACCTTTGAAATGTGCCAAAATTCAAATGCTAAGTACGTAATTCAAGTAATTTGTATCACACTTCAGTGGTTTAACACTTATCACTAATTTTTGTTAGTTTTTATCTGATGTTATTTTTAGCTGCTGGCTCTCTCTTGAAGGAGGACTACTCTACGCTTTTGTTGGACCTGCAGCCGCTGTTGTCCTGGTAAACATCAAAATCAACATCTGTTTTCTTATTCAACAAAGACTACTTTGCTTCAATTAGAGTGATGGTTTTGTATTTGTTCTGTAGAAATTTTATTTTATTTTATTTATTTTATTTTATTTTATTGTTCTGTAGAAATTTTAAAGTCCAAATGTATTACTCCTTATTAGTTAGTACTTTAATTTGAATATCAACTGCTATTTAGTCCTTTATTACTCTAAAATATTCTTATTTTGAAGACTGAAGACTATTAAACATGGGAGTGTGGGATTTCTCTTACAATAATTTCACATTTGTGAAGAAGTTTGAGTAAGTTTCAACGAATTCTTCCTTGTTAAATGTACAGAATTTCTTCATTTATTATCATTTCACCTTAATACTGTTCTGTATGATCTGTCTTGTTAAGATCTCTCAATCTTGACAACTGCTGCCTGCTACCAAATATCAATAAGCAAATACATGTCCAGATGTCACAGTTTTTTGACTTCAGTGCCACAGAATTTTGGACAAGATATTTGTTTGTCATGGGGCTCTCCTCTATATTTTAGGATGTTCAGCAGGATCCCTGGGCTCTACACTAGATAAGAGTAGGATTGTCAGTTGGTAAAAGTCAAAAACATCCCCAGACATTTCCCAATATTCCCTGTGTGTAAAAACCACTCCCACTTGAGAGTCCCTGCCATATTTTGTGCATAAGGATTTTAAATGTTTCTTTTTGGGAACACAGTAATTCCTTTACATGTGTAATTAGGGAAACATGAAAATTTTCTACCAATTGCTTTTCTTTCTTTCATTCTGATATTATTGATTACAAATCTTGCTTGTCTTATAAATCTTTAAAGGAAAATGTAAGGGGGAAAATGGTCTAAATTAAATACAAAGAGCTGCATTGCTGTGCAATTAGAATTCTAATTGGAACATTACCCTTTGGTTTCTTGAACAATTCATTCAATAAATTAGAAGCTAACCATATCTTTCTTAAGAACTCTATATGACTTTTTCATTCTTTAAGGTTTGCTTTCCCTCCTCTAAACTATAACAGGGAGCAAAACTGTCCATGATTCACAAAATAATAAAAGAAAAAAAAGGAAAAAAATCTAGGCATGAGTGTTAAAGAAGAGTATAGGGAAATTGAAAGCTATTAGACACATTTTTGTTTGCTGCATTGAATTCTTATTTAATCTATTGAATCATTTCCCTAAACTACAAAGGTAATATACATATAACCCTAAAATGGAGAAACAGAGTATGTGTATAATTGAAAAACCAAAATATAGTCTTTGGAGTAGTGATGGATTCCCTCACGATTAAATTATAGATTAATAGAATCCTTGGAATATAATTTTTTTCTTAGTTCATATAGTGAGAAATTGAAGATGAGTAAGTTTTGCTTTTGATCAAATGGTATCTTGTTGGGAAGCTATGAAAGGTGATGACTCCTAATCCCTACCCAACAGTTGCTTTGGATCTTCCTTATACTATGAGTTAAATAGATTTCAGCTTTATATTTCATCTGGCCAATGTGCTGGGGAAATGGAATCTATCTTTTCTTTTTTCTTTTCTTTTCTTTTCTTTTTTCCTAGTCATCCTGTTTAATTTAAAACAGGTTTTTGTGAACTTCTAGTTTCAATGTAAAGGCTTCACTATTTGTATTGGGGGATGCACCAAGATTCTGTTGATCATGGAGGGTAAGGGGCAGGAAGGAAAAAAAGGAGAAAATATTTTTCCTTGATTATCTTGGTTTCAGCGTTGGACTGGATTTCTTTATCAGGAAGTACTGGTAGGTTAGAGAACTGTGGTTGCTTAACATAATAAGCTGCTACAAATAGACCACAGCTATCTCTACAGCTTTTTGCAATTTTACTTGAGAAAGAAAAATACGCGTGATTTCATTTCAGATGTATTATGCAAAGACCTTTTAAGTGAGAATAAGGGAGTCTTAGAAAAAGCTAAGAAGTGTTCAGTAGAGCACATTATAAAAATTGGTGTTAGTGTCCATCTCTTAAAGGATTCTGGTGAGTTGAATAGGCTTTCCCCTTCCTCTGGAAAAGCATGGTACATCAAAATGTGCTCCACTCACAGGAGAAATAGCCACACTGCGTGAAGAATGTAGGCATTCTGCTCTCAGTTGCTGGAGAAATTAGCAAATCTTTAGCACCTTTGGCTGCCAGGGCTCAACCTAGTCTCACACCGTGAGACTGAAAATCTTTTGACTCTCATATGGTAAAACTCATTTGGCCAATTGATTTTAATCAGGGGTGACTTAGAATACCAGATTGGCAGAGTATGGCACCATTTAAAAGTTAGACAATTAAATGGTAATTTCCTCAGTGTTAACTGCAAAGTGTAGACATTAAATGTGCTTAATGTACTTTAAAACTTAAAGGAGCACACCACTGTCAAATTGTTCTGTTCCTTTATGCACTTATGAAATATTTGAGAGGTGTTTTTATTGTCAATATAATTCAGAAATGGTTATAAATTAATAAAAGAGGGTTTTCAGGAAAAAGGGGGACCTGATTCCCTTCAATATCATTGAAAGGTCAACCTTTGTTTCTGTTTGACAGGTCAACATGGTGATTGGCATTTTGGTATTTAATAAACTTGTTTCCAGAGATGGGATCCTAGATAAAAAGCTCAAACACAGAGCCGGGTAAGCTGCAATTGGTGGATTTTGAAGGTCCTTTAATCAGTGAATCACATACTCCAATTCCAGTTCATCATTGACTGCATTTTAAGTGTGCTTTGAATTTTGTTCCTGATGAAACAGTATGTCTGGTAGACTGTGTCATTCAGGTTTCGATGTGCTATCCTTAAGTAATGCGATCAACATCTAAAAATAATTTAAAAGACCATTAAGAAAATCTGGGTTTGTTTGTGCAAATTGCCTGTTTGTAAAGATACGATTAAATGTTACAGTTGGACTTAAAATACTTGTTATTTTTAAGTTTTTATTTAAATTCTAGTTGGTTAACATAATAGCTTCAGGAGTAGAATTGAGTGATTTATCACTTAACATATAACACCCAGGGCTCATCACATCACATACCCTCCTTGATGCCCATCACCCACTTAGCCCATCCCCTACCGTCCCCTGCCAGCAACCCTCAGTTTGTTTTATAGTTAGGAGTGTCTTAGGGTTTGCCTCTCTCTCTCTTTTTTTTCCCCTCCTTCCCCTATGTTCATCTGCTTTGTTTCTTAAATTTCACATATAAGTGAAATACGGTATTTATCCTTCTCTGACTTAGTTTACTTAGGATAATATACTCTAGTTCCATCTACCTCATTGCAGATGGCAAGAGTGCATTCTTTTTATGGCTGAGTAATATTTTTTCCACTGTGTGTGTCAGATAGATATCTATAGATATAAATAAAGATATATCACATCTTTTTTATCTGTTCATCAGTTGATGGATATTTAGGCTCTTTCCATAATTTGGCTATTGTTGATAACGCTGCTATAAACATTAGGTTCATGTGCCCCTTTGAATCAGTATTAAAATATTTAGGTGAGCAAGGCCCCCTAGTCTGGGTCAGGAGGGTCAGTTGAACATAATGTAAGTGTGTGACACAACTGAATCAAGACAAGCAAACCGTAGTTGGGCATAAATACTACATTTTCTTTAATTGTATATATCAGAAAATTTCTTCACATGAAATAATCACTTATGAAACATGGTTCTTGTCATATATTTTCATTTTTATGATGTTTTGACTATAACTTGCTAGGAAGACTTATTCATAATTTTCACTTGTACATTTTAAGCACTTATAAAATTTAGAAAAGCATCTTCTTTAATTTTACTGTCTAAGAGTGTGATATCACCACACTTAATGGCTAATAACATTTCATAAGCAGGTTGATAGCAGCTTTGTAAGGTTACATGGTCACCACCTCACATAAATTTGTAGAAATTTGAACGAAATATTAATGCTTTTGAATTTCCCTTTGTATTTTTTCTTATAAAAACTTTATATCTCTCTCCTTTCTGTTTAACAGTACTTTCATCCAAAATTTATCCTACAATTGTTATTTCTTTAATAGTTTATGCTATTATTTAACAGTCACAGGATTTGATCACTGACCAGTGAGAATTTTAAGTCCTTTATGTTTCTATAGTCTATACAGTGATTTATATGGTAATCTAGGTTTTGTTCCACCTAGTAAAAGACTAGCTTTAATTCTTCAAATATTATAAATTGATATCATTCATATCAAGCTTTAGAACTGCAATGATGTAATGAAAACATCATTGGAGATTCCTTCCAAAGGAGGGGTGTCACTTCCCACTTAGAGACTTTTTTTTCCACTTCAGATAAATCTCCATTGCAACTTTAGGTAAACTTGAACTGGCACAGACACTGAGCTTTCTATACCATTTGAACTTGAAGCTTTCACACTATTACTCTTGTAGTCTTCTGTGTATGGTTGGAATTGGAGCAATAGCTTCAGTATTTCTGTCTATATTAATCATGTAGGAATAAATTTATCATAGTGAATACGAAGTATAGAAACTCAGTTCTACCACTAGTGGCATAAATTTGTGTGTCTGTGGGTCTGTATACATATGGTATATATACCATATATATATATGGTTAGGATAAAGCTTTGAGGTAAAAAATATTTTTAAACAAAGTCATACTCAATATCTAGCTCTACAATTTACTGGCTATGTGTGTCTTTGGGCCTGTTATTTAGTTATTCTGGAATTCAGTCTTCTCACCTATAAGATGGGGATAATCATTTCTGCCTCATGGTAGAGTATATGAAATATAATGTGTACAAAGAATATATTAGATAACAAATAACAAGAACTCAATCAGCAAATGATGGCTACTGTTATGATTTAAATGAAGAAAACAGATTGTTTTCAAATGATCTTGACTTCTGTCAGTCAAGGGATTCTGAGATTCCACCATTCATGACGTTGTGGTCAAAAAAAAAAAAAAAGAGGGAGCGAGAGATGAGATCATCAGAATGAGTATAATGCTAATGATTTATTAAATTTGCCATCAATATTTTTCTCATTTAATTGCTTTATATGTAATATCCAGTTTGATTTACATAGTTCTCTGTAAGAGATGACATACATTTAAGAGAAATAACAGCATTGTCATGTTATGAATTTAGAAATTATCCACTTTAATCTATGTATTAATTTTAAAACATCTCTTTATGAAAATATTATTAGAAGTTACATCCCCTTTACTGGAAAAATTGAATCTATGGTTTTCTAGTTCAAAGGCCATTGCTGGAGAAATAGAAATGATAATATGTGTTATAAAAGCAGAATGCTGGTTACTATTCAAAGTGGAAAACAATTATTAACAAGTTAATGATTTGAGGTTTTTTATGATTTTAGGTTTTAAGGACTTTTTCTATAATATAAAAATGCAATTTTTGCGTAAGTGTGTATCGATTGAAATTTACTATTTTGAAGTGTAATTGAAGGTATAAGTATTTAAAGTTAATTTTAGCCCACAGAGAATCAGTGAAGACAGTCATAAAGACTTTAGTGAACAATAAGTAATCAGAATTAACTAAAGAAACATTGAACATGAAGCTAATTAATTTAAAAATTGATGCTCCTAATTATAAATGTTGACCTGAAATTTCAAGTTGAAATATATAGATATCAAGTATTGTTTTTTGAAACATTATTATCTAGAATCAATATGTACCTCTTCCCATTTTTTTGTTTGCTTTCTCCTTTTTATAATTAATTATTAGAAACTGTCAAGCAATAGTTCATGTTTAATAAATATAAAGAAATGAATGAATGAATATTTAAGAAATAATACACTAGCTTGACAAGTTTTATAATATTCAATTATATTGTTATTCTAATACATGAAATATATTTACCAGAGGGATTGATTGCAATTAATACATCTTATACAAAATAACTGAAAAGAAAGAAAAGATAAAGTGGCATAGATATTCAAATATGAGTATTTTTCTGGTTAACAAATATCTCAAGCATAATATTTCAATTTTTTCTCTCTCTTTCTTTTTCTTTTCTTTTCTTTCTTTCTTTCTTTTTTTTTTTTTTTTTTTTTTGCAATGGAACTTTCATATCTACTATTTTAAATTGCTTTACCTCATCTTCCTTAAATTAAGGAAACTACCAGGGTCTTGTCCATGAGCTTTTTCCAAAGGGAAAGGGAATATTTTCTTGTAAGGGAATTTTATGTAATAGCAATAATGAACACATCAGGGAAGTTTGCTGTTGTTGTTGTTGTTGTTGTTTTCTAAGCAAAGAAAAATAAGGTTTGAAAAGGAAGCTAGTAGACTCCAAGACCCCGCAGAAGCAAACAGAATAACCTAGGTGAAATGACCATGTTGGTGCCCTGGTAGTTAGGGTAACATTTGAACTTATGGGAAATTAATTTTTTTTAACTGTTAGCATTTTTTATTTTATAAATGTATACTTTTCCCTGTAACAAAGAAATAATATTTTATTTCCCATTGCAGCAACCTTGTTAGCATTTAGATGATGTGTTCTTCATACTATATTATTTCCGAAGCACTCATACAAACTAGGGAAAATATTCTATCTCCCTGGGTAACCTATCATTCCTCTGTTCCATATATATCTAAGAATAGAATTCCAAAAGTGTCCAACCAGTTAACATCAAGCATAGTTTTTGACAGTTAGCTCTAAGGGAAGTACGTATAGGCATTTTAGTCAATCACAAATCAATCTCAAAGAGAAATAAGCATTTCGAATAATGGCTTAAAATTTGTTTTTGGGAAAGCCCATACTTAGGCCAAATGAGTTTTTCTTAGGGCTAAAACACTTGCTTATATTGTGTAGTAAATTAAAATTAATTTTTAGTCATTTTTAGCTTTTCAATTTTATTTTAGAGCCTAGAGACAGTATTCCTAAATTGAGAAAGATAGCTACATTTGTGTTCAAAGCACAAATACCAAACAGCATATCTTCTCTGAAAAGAGAAACAATAGATCAGTCATATTTTTTAAATATTAGTCTGATGGAGCTTAGCAAAATTGAAGATATCAAATATATAATAGGGCAATTGTGTGCATTCCTGCTTTTCTCAGAATAATCTGTGGAACTTTAAAAAACACAGATGCCCAGGGCACTGGGTGGCTTAGTCGGTTAAGCATCCAACTCTTGGTTTTGGCTCTAGTCATGATCTTAGGGTGGGAAGACGGAGCCCTACAGTGGGTTCTGCACTTGGGGTAGAGTCTGCTTGAGATTGTCTCTCCCTCTCCTTCCTTTTCTATCTCTCCTCCCCCATTCATTCTCTCTCTCTCTCCCTCATTCACTCTAAATAAATAAATAAATAAATAAATAAATAAATAAATAACTATCTTTAACAAAAAGGCACAGACACCTGAACCCCATTGAATTGGAGCCTTTGGGGTTTTACTATATATATATATATATATATATATATATATATATATACACATCAGATGTGCATCAGATCTGCATATCTGATGTGCAGCCACTGTGGAGAATACTGCTGTAGGTAGGTATTCCTTTGGGAGTAGTTTCAAACACAATAGCTTGCCCATTGAGACACTCATGATCCAAGCTAGATAGAGTATTACTTATTTGTTATTATGAAAAATTTGGTCACATGTGCTAGGATACATGTCCTGGGTTGAATCAGTAAAATGAATGATTTAGTATCATATTTCCTTCCCTCATATCTAACTCTAAAAGCTTTGATTTTTCTCCGGGGGTCTACTGGTCAATAAATCTACTTACTTAATAGCTTACAGATTTATTGTCTCATCCAAGCACTATTTGAAAACGTGTGCCCTTCTTTTTTTTTAATTTTTATTTATTTTTGATAGTCACACAGAGAGAGAGAGAGGCAGAGACACAGGCAGAGGGAGAAGCAGGCTCCATGCACCGGGAGCCCGATGTGGGATTCGATCCAGGGTCTCCAGGATCGCGCCGTGGGCCAAAGGCAGGCGCTAAACCGCTGTGCCACCCAGGGATCCCCAACGTGTGCACTTCTTTAAAAGAAACCAGATATTCTGAATTATGATCATCTTATGATTTTTCTCTGTTTTGCCAATTTTGTTACATACATGTCCACTAAATATTGTTTTTAAAAAGACCTACTGGGAAAACGTATTTTAGACATTAGCACCACAAAAGAATGGACAAGAAAAGTGTACCACAGAAAATTATTTCAAGATGTTTTGAACTTTGATTCAAGTAATTTCTTTTTGATTTTTCATAAGAGAGTTATGTTCTAATAAACCAGTCATTTTCAAGGGACTCTTTTCTAAAGTAAAATGTGCACAAAGTTTTTTGTGTAGCATGCCTTTGCTTCTATGATATAGTAGGTTGAATCTGAATTATTTGAATCCAAATTTACCTGCGAAATCCTCCAGACTAGAATAGACCAATTAAATCCTGTTGGATTGAAACTTATGAAAAATTGTTCAGAAAGAATATTTTGAACTTAATGTTAAATGTGTTTTATTAAAGCATTAAAATATCACCCCTTTTATTATAAAGTAATATTTCATCAAATTTTATCAGCCCTATATTCAGATCATCCTAAAATAATATAGTGTAGATACAATGTAGATGATTCATTGATGCTGTGAGAAATTTCAAAACATGAATCCGTTGAGATAAAGACTATTTCTCCCACAAATGATTAAAGACCTAAAATATATATCTTCTTATATTGGACTTCTGAGATACATGTTTACATTTCAGAAGATTTTTTCCTTCTGCAAATGATAATGAAAATCTTTGAAGTTAGGAGTTCTGGTGTGTTTGATAATCAGGGGTCTGAATAAAGGGTTTTCACTGTATGTCTACACAAGCACATGCTTATGTTAACTCAGTGTATTGGACAATTGTGAACCATAGACACAGGGCCATTTATGGTATAATTGATGGAAATATGCTTTGCGTGCCACAAAGGCCCATCTAATTAAAAGGTAAATATTACAAAAATAATGTGTAGTGTAATTGCATCATTAAAACCACCTAGATCATTCATCTTTGATAAATAAACTTTTCTGCATGAAATCGTTTTTAAAAGCTAACTTGCAGCGGCAACTTTTTTTGGTGAAAATTCAATATTTTGTTCTTTTTGTGGGTGTTCTGTTTGTTTGCAGTCAGATGAGTGAGCCTCATAGCGGTTTGACGCTCAAATGTGCCAAGTGTGGAGTAGTTTCAACAACAGCTTTGTCAGCCACCACCGCCAGTAACGCCATGTTAGTCCCAATCATTTACATCTTCTTGTTACAAATCTTTTACAGTGCATGTGAGAAAATGGTACTGTGGAAAAAAAAATATCATGTTTGCTAATATTGGAGCTAAGAGCATACTTAAATACTTATAATTGGCAACTGCCTTTATAACTATTGTGGGATTGGCTATAAAAAAATAAATAAAATTATCCAGTGTTCTCTGCTTTATGGTTTCCAAGTTAACGGTCTTGGTGCCACATACAAGAATGCTTTGTTGGACGGGGGTTTGGAGATTGCCTGGGGTGTGACATGCAGCTACGTAATGTTGCTCTCTGGGTCTCTCAACAGGGCGTCTCTCTGGAGTTCCTGTGTGGTGTTGCCCCTTCTGGCTCTGACGTGGATGTCTGCAGTTCTGGCCATGACAGACAAACGCTCCATATTGTTTCAAATACTTTTTGCTGTGTTTGATTCATTGCAAGGCTTTGTGATAGTCATGGTCCACTGCATTCTTCGGCGAGAGGTAAGAGGAAAGAGAATTGCTCCGGCAGAGAGAGGGATGATGGTTAGATGAATATTTTCCTTATTAACCAATAGGATCTTTTATGTTAATATCTTCAAATTAAAATCATCTCCCTAAAGACAACCATTGGAAAGTTAAAGCTAAAGGGGAATCTTTAAGGCAAAGTTCAAGAGGGCTCCTTGGACCTTGAAAGTGACAGTTAAAACGGACTGTGGAGAGAAGATGCTCCTGGGGGTGCCAGGAACCAGGGAAAGTATATTCAAGAGACATCATTAGGTGAGAGAAGTCCTTTAGAAACATTGGTGGATAAGAGGGTGGGGTGGCATATTTTTGAGAGGCATAGTTCATAATCATAGTACAATGATATCTCTTAAACCCATTCCCAAACTCATGCTTCTGCACACAGTGTATCCCATTCCTTCATCCTTAAACTAATTTCATTTTAGATAGAAAATGTTGAAGATTACTGAAGAGTTATTGTGTCTCTATACTAAAGTAAGGTTGCTAAAGGTAAATGATTCTGAGATGGATGTTTATACTTAGAAAATACCAAAAAATAATGTACACAATGAAACACAAAAGGCAGTGATTGTCCCCTGGAACTGTAGATCTATAATCACAGCATTTCTTCAGGTCATGGTTGAGATTTATTGTCAGCAGTGAGGAAAACAAGTCCTCCTTCGTGAATTGAGACCCTAACCTGCACCAAATCCACTGAGCAGCAATAGATGTCGGACGTGAGTTGTTTAGGGAGCAAATACTGTTTTTCAACCAGTGCAAAAATTATGCTGAGTGCTTGCAAGCACTGACACTGTATTTACAAGGTTTATGAGTCATTTTAGTGTTTACTCTGGGGATGTTGGTGACTAAAACACAATGACACAGTGCCATGCTGGTAATTTTGAGGAAATGGTCCACACTGTCACTTTGCATTAGCCAGCTTGTTTGAGAACTTCATTATGATGTGCACATTGCAGAAAGACTCATGTGCATATGACTACACACCACACAGTTTTTACAGTGATATGTGAAAGTAACCAAAGGTTTTTACCTGATTTACCAGATGGAGAGAACAATATTTCTGAGCTACTTCAGTAAGGTACAGATGTCAGCAATAAACCAATAAACCCATATGTGTATTCCTAGAACATTATATGATGAAAAGAAGAGTGACTTCACTTTGCAAAGGAGGCAATATTTCATCATTTAAAAACCTGATGCTGGGACACCTGGGCGGCTCAGTGGTTGTGCGTCTGCCTTTGGCTCAGGGTGTCATCCTGGGGTCCTGGGATCAAGTCCTGCATCGGGCTCCTTGCAGGGAACCTGCTTCTCCCTCTGCCTATGTCTCTGCCTCTCTGTCTCTCATGAGTAAATAAATAAAATCTTAAAAGCAACAACAACAATGTAGCTTATAGTTGCCAAGCCTTTTAATTCCCTCATCCTAAATTTCTATTTAGGATATCAGCATTAAAAATCTTGAAAGTATTCAATACTTTGTAGACCAAATTTAAGTAAAAGGGAAATTGAATAACTTAGGGCTTTGTTATTCTCCAACTATAGCTATCTTGTGGGTCTTCTGCATTAATATTATCTGTAATATGTTTATGTAACAAATTGTTCTAAGTGAATAGACACATGACACATTTTTGATTGATAAATAAGAATGAACAGTTGTGGGTTTTAATCAAGATGCATAATGTATTTATGTAATTTATTTAACACAGTAGGTCTTAAAGAGAAGAAAAGTGTCCCATCTCTAAACAAGCCTCTCTTTTTCTTCAGAAATAAGCTTTTTATATAGTCCTAGGCTATGATAAAAAGTATTTGGGTTTTTAAGTGCCGGATATTTTGATGGCTTATTATCAAAGTTTTGCAGTTTACATGAAAAAAAATATTTGGCACAAAAATTTATTTCCATCAGAACTTTTCCATACTTGCTAATTGGACTAATAACTCTGAAAAATATGATTTAAAGGTAATTAAATCAAATCACATAATAAATGCTTCTGCTAAAATAGATGTCTGTAAATATAAGTTTGCTGTTTTAGTAGGAAGTAAAAATATGAATATTGGCCCTGTTATTATTGCATTTCCAATGATTAGTTCAAATTGAATAGTTTTATAGCTGATAAATTAATAGCAGTGTCATAATTATCATTCCAACACCGAAATCGAAAAATCACACATCCATTATTTTTGCATTGACCTTAAAAATATCCTGTAACACTGCTATAAGTACACAGAGCAGATTTCAGTTTCAAGTCCCTTTCAGACTTTCTCAAGGGAAGTTTTTACTGAAAAACCAAAAGAACCTTGTTTAAAAGGGTTTTGCAAATCCCGAGGACCACATCATAAGATGGCTTCACTGGGTTCAGAGGAATCTTTTTGATCTGTTACCTATATGTCACCTAACACACCAGCAATAGGTCTGTCTCATATTACCTGTGGTCACACTGCGCTAACATTAACCACAGTCCAAGAGATGAGGAGCATCTCCCCATATTCCCAGTGTCTTCTGTGAACAAAAGTTCCATAAAAATACACCAAAGAAAATTGTCTAGCTAGCTACCTATAAAATACTGGGTAATGACTCCTGTCAAACTACCTGATAATCCCATAGGTGATCTTGGGAATACAATTTTCCCTTTACTGCTTTTTTCACTTTAAAACATTTTTCACAATAATCCAATATGATTTGTATGGGTTTTCTTTATTAAAAATGTATAAGCAATGTAAGAAATATTTCCTTTGATTTAGAGAGAGACTGAATACAAATATACATATATTTATTTATGTGTATTTTTGACACGCAGTAACATAATTTGGTCGTTTGTAGTCTTTAATGATTCTTTCAATATGAATTCAAAAGCCTTTTCCTATATTTACTTTTGCAGTCTTCCTGTGAAGGAGGTGGGTGTACACAGGGGAGGAATATAGCCTTGCAGTTTAAGAAGGAGAAAAGAAACGAAATAGTATAACTGGCATTTTAAATGTGATATGTATGGGGCTTGATTTATTCTAAATGTGCCTTTGCTTTTAGTGGATCCAATTTTAAAACCAAATCATTTCAAGTCAGAAGGGAAGGGAGAAATGATCACTTTGTTATTGTCAACTCAATTATATTCAACGTTAAAAAAAAAGAAGCAAATTGATTATTTGCATAGCAATTTGTTGTGACCTCCAGATTGACATCTCAATATATAAATTTCATAAAATTTGTAATCTTGAAAATACAGCTGCTTCTTCTGGAGCAACTTTCTCTATTGAATTGCTTTAGTAGGTACCTCTGACAAAAGAGAAAACAACAGGAGGAGGGAATAAGAAGAAAAATAATTAAACCAAACGATTCACCACACATTACTTTCAGCAACAAAACATAGATCTTGGAAGCTAATATGTATAATACCTTGTAAGACAGAATGTAATAGAATAAATATAGATGCTTCCTTCTTTTATTCGTCATTTCTTGATTAGAATTCATTTGCATTAAGCCCATAACGACATCTACTATTTACTATTCCCCACATTGCTATGGAAATTCAAACTACACAAGTTATGAAACCTTTGAAATAGTTACTGTTGCTAGGAAACCGCTTTCTTGGTGCCTGCACATTCTTCTCATCTCTCCTGTCTCTGGCTGTGCTTGGCTCTAAGACAATCTTACAGCTTAATGTCAGAGGGGGAAAATAACAAGATTGTGATACAAAATAAGCTACAATAAAACCCTTTCACTAAATGGAAGGGAAAAGGCAAGTGCTTAAATAGATGACTTTGTTGTATCAGTAGGTGAGGGTCCTGTGGCTGCTGGGTAGTGGCAGTAGAAGGGCCAAGATCCTCTTTTTTCTTCCCCCAGCACCGGCAGGAGGTTAGGCTGCACCAGATGAGGTCTCAGAATCTTCATCCAAACCGGTGAAGTGATTTTGTAACAAAGTGCTTGAAATAAACATGAACAGCTTTTTCTTTCTTTCCCTCCTCTCTTCCTCTCATTCCCCTCTGCCTTTTTTTCCCTTCCAATTTCCAATTTGGTCTTATTTCCATAAAGAATACAGATAAACAAAATGATTTACAAGTACATGACAATGAATACATAAAACAGACAAGCATCCTTACCAATCTCATCTAAAACCGATATTCTCCCCAAACCATTAGAAAAATAAATGTTAACTAGACAGCCATTTAAAAAGAGGTCATATTGCATATGCTATAGTTCTGGTGGAGAGTTGCATGAATCTCCAAGCCTGACCATTTACAGAGAAATTAGGTATGACTCATTAGTATGGCAGTGTGTGTCTGTGCACTCCCTTAATGAGGGAAGGCAGGAGTTCCAGTTAGTCTTTGGAGATGAGGGAGTAGGAGATAGGAGACCTCAGAAAGTAATGGGTCCTAGGGCAAATATGGGGTCAAAGGATTAAGGAAGTAAAAGTTTCAAATAAAGGAAAATGGGGAGAGATTACTAGGCATGTGGTTTCTATGGAATGGAGCCTGTGGTGAATATAGAGTAGTCTTCTCTGGGACCATCTGGGGTACCTGGAGGCATAAAGCAAATCATAGGATCCTAGACACTAGAATGTTTTTTTGAAAACGTGGTTATAACTGTAGCCTCAAGAGAAAGACAATACTGACAACATTTGAGTGCACAGCATTAAGGGATATTTAACAGCTTTCTCATTGCGGTGTTCAGTGATCATGGTAAAAGGCCACTGTGTATCACGTCATGAAGAAGTTCAATAAATTTCATAGAATTAGTGAGCGGTCCAGGGAGGGAGGGTTAGGGAATTGTTGATTCTAAGATTTTTCAGCTTACTCAAAAGGACAAACATTTAAGGGAGAAAGGTGAGAGTTGCTAAAAGCCTTGTCTTTATCAGGCCAAATTGAAAGTTCAAGAAGAAATACATTTAAAGATTTGGGTTTTTTTTTTTTTTAGAAAAAAATTTTTTTAATTCATTTATGATAGTCACAGAGAGAGAGAGAGAGAGAGAGAGAGAGGCAGAGACACAGGC